ATTTTACTTCTCATCCAAATTCTACAGTAAGCTGATCTATTTTCATAGCCATTTGAGAGCTATTGTTTGTTTCTTTTTCTTCTGTTCTAATTAAAAATTTAAAAAGCCTTTTTAGTTCGGAATTATATTTACTGTGATTTTTGTGCATTTAAGGCACCAAGAAACAATTTGTTTTAGGGAATTTGGTAACTTATTTCAAAAAATCTAATCCATAACCTTACTTATCACGTAGCATGGTTAACACCAAGTCATATTGAGAGATAGTCTTAAATAAACATCGACAGTGTGGAAACATGAAAATCACTGGTTCAACTGATAAGGTGATGCTTCTGCATTTCTCAAAAGATGTTTCATGAGTGGAAAAGTATTTTGCTGAGCTATTTGCCCTTCAGTGATATGATTAAAGTGTCACAACCATTTTGCTTTATGAAAGACTCAGAATTCCATTCATGCCAAATGAAGGCCATACATAACACATTTATCTCTGTTTGAGCATAAGAGACTCCAGGACTATATATAATGCTCACTGAAGCTGCAGAATATCTCCAACAATTTACATTATTCATCTACCACTACTAGAACAATTGCGTTAAAGAATGGCCCAGAGAAACCCAGGTGGTTTTACTCCAAAGAAGTTCTTCATTAATAAAAGAATGACTTAGGAATAATTTGGTACTTGTAAACAACCATAACAGATCAATTATTCTGGCTGTACCTGGCTCTTATAAATAACCTTCAGCTGTCTTCATCTTGATAATATCAAAAACTTATTCTACATATCCTCTTGCAAAATTCAAATGTGAGGCTTTTCAGGGATTATCACATAGCATCAGAGCTACCTGAACAATAGTTGACTTCCTTAATGAAAAAAAGAGTTTCAAATTTTCCCATTGCTCATAGCACTTTTTTCTTGTGTGTGGCATTTTTTTTCTGCCCTTGTTTGAAATGTATGCAACAACAATGGCAACTGTAGCTATTGACAAAGTGTGGATTGTGGCCAAACTGCTTTTAAGGAGATCTTTCCTCTCACTGAGACACACTCCACTCCACTGAGGCAGCAAAACAACCCATAAGTGCAAAGTGTTCCACCTTGATGAAGAGCTAAGTTCACCCAACCTGCCTCAATTGGCCAATGTACCTTGTAAACAGCAGTGAAAGGAAGTAAAGCAGCTGCTCCACTCCATGAATTAAAAGCATGGCATAATTTCATGGGTGACGAAACAAGCTGCTTTGGTTCCACGCAACTTCTGAATAAAATTCAAAGTGCTGGTAATATCTATAAAGCCCTGTCTGACACAGGGCCTTATCCCACTTGTCTCCAGTCATTTCTGCCTACCCAAACCAATATGTTTCGGCAGAGTAGGTGTGCTAAGGAGAAACCTCCTGACAGTTAGAACAATTAACCAGTGGAACAACCTGCCTCCAGAAGTTGTGAATGCTCCAACATAGGAAGTTTTTAAGAAGAGATTGGACAAACATTTGTCTGAAACGGTATAGGCTCTCCTGCTTAAGCACGGGGTTGGACTAGAAGACCTCCAAAGTCCCTTCCAAATCTGATGTTCTGTCCTGTCATGTTCCATTTGTCATCTTGTAGAATTGAAGTAGCATGTCCTCTCTGTTGTGACCCCTTTGCAACAGCATCCCACCAGAGAAGGGTGGCATCCTCTCTTCTAGGATTCTGGAAAGCTCTGAAAACCTATTATTGTTTGCCTAGAGCAGGGGTCTTCAAACTTGGCCCTTTTATGACTTGTGGACTTCAACTCCCAGAATTCCTCAGCCAGGCACGCTAGCTGAGGAATTCTGGGAGTTGAAGTCCACAAGTCATGAAAGGACCAAGTTTGAAGACCCCTGGCCTAGAGCCTAAAGCCAATTTTTGTTGTCTATAAGATTATTTTAGTCTGAGCTGTCAATTTGGTTTAATGTTGTGATGTATTTTTAATGGTTTTCTAGTTCTGTACACTGCCCAGAGTCTATTGGAGTTCATTGGCTACTAAATTCAATTAAACAAACAAAATATAAACAAAGTCACTGAGGGCTAACATATAAACCTTCCTGTTGCAGAGCCAGAATTTCAGCAAATCTGGAACATGGATGCTTTCAGTATGTCCAATGACAGTGTTTTGTAAGGGGTATATGTGTATGTATATTTGTTCATCTGGGGTATCATATAATGCAAAATACTGTTCGTATTAAATACGCACAAGCCTGCTTTTATAGGTATCATCAAAAGAGTCCATTTAATTTGTAAGATTCCTTTTTTTATTAAGTCAATTTTATAAGATTGTTCTTTCGCGATATTGCTCCATCATAACCTCTCCTGAGACAAGTGCTCATGCCTAGCTGAATTTCTAACAGAACCCTGGACCTTACCACAAATCTACTAATTCAGTCATTCACACTTGGTAGCTGATTTACTAACAACTCATAATCAGCCTTCCTCAATTTCAAATGTGTTGGACCAACTGCCTTACTTTCCAGCAGGATCTACTGGCCGGACGTTTGGGGAATTGTGGCTCACTGCATTCAGAGAATTTCAAACTGATGATCACTCTTCATGCAGCGTTCTTCTATTTTCATTGCCACTTGCATGTCTTCATATTCCGTTTCCAACTTCTCGATGTGAAATATTTTATATGAGAATATAATTTTCAAATTTTCGAACCAGGACAACGTCAGGAAGCATGGTCTTTGGTACTTTTTCAACTTTCTCACATGACTAAATTTGAACGATCTCAGAAATAGTTTTAGCCATTTAAACTGACTTGCATAGGCAAAGGGGGAAGAGACAGATGGTTAAACCCACATTTTGTTTTTGTGAATTTATACAGCTCTGCTTTCTAGGACTTTTTTGAAAACAGCAGGGAGACCCAAATTCAGCACAAAACTGGGCAATCCCCAGTCAAAAATACTTTTGATAAAACTATCCATAAATAAAAAATCAGCTTTCCCCAACTGTAGATTGCAAGTCCCAGAAATCCAGCCATTTGGACATGCTGCTTACCATAAGGAGAACTGCAGTCAGAAAGCTCAGATTTCAGAACGGGAAAGCTATCCTAGAGTCTGATTTGCAGCACGTACAGCAAGGCTCCAACTGACTTTCAAACTATAAGTATGCCGAGCAATTGCAATTGAGCCAGCCCTAACAAAAGCAAGCAAACAAATAAGCATCGATCTCATGTACCATGCTAAGCCATGGTTTATTTGGTGAATAGGTCAATACCATACCATGCGATGCCATAAACCATGATTTAGAAACCACAGTGACTGTATTTACATAGGCACTAAGTCAGTTGCACTATGTGGGACCAATCTAGAAGCACCAGAAAAAACAGGATATGGGAGGAATTTGTTCCATCCCAAGATAAGTCATAGGAAAATCAGCTGACCATACACCTAAATCCAACATTTGCTTTTATTTATAAGATGATTCACAACTCATTCAACTGGGTTACAAGCAGGGCTAACTCTGTATTTCAGAAAGCCTTTGTATATGTTGGATCTCTTCTCTCCTACCCACCTCTCCCCAATCTCTTTTTCCCCTTCATAGCTCCTGCCTCTATCTCTTACTTAAGATCTTAGCTATCAACTGGTTCCCCACCCAGTATCTCAGTAAAAAAAAAAAAAAATCTCTGCAGCAGAAAGGTACTTTCAGTAAAGAGTCTAATCAGTGTTTGGTTCCACTCTACTTCTTCTGACCATTATCTTAGATTACAGCATTATACCCAATAACAAAACTGCATATTGTATTTAGAGTAAGTTAAGATGCTGATAAACTGGAATAGAGTGGAAATAAGATCAGTTCAGCTTCACTGAAAATTATGGCTACCCACAGAGTCACATCATTTCTCTAGGCATGACAATCCCTGATGACAAACGCAACTGGTAACATTCTCTTTAGGAAGATTACTCTTACAAGAGAAGATGTCCGCTTTTCTTCAAATGAAATCAACTTTAAATTATCTGTAGCATTGTCTACAGAGATTCTCAATCATTCAGGTCATGGTTTTCCCAAAGGAGTTTCTTGGATTTTGTTTTTTTCGTGAAAACGTTTTGCTTCTAGTCAAAGAAGCTTCTTCACCTCAACTGAAGCACCTTTGGAATATTTGTAGTATTACAAAATAATACCGTTTACAGGATTATTCTGTTTCGGCACCCTGCCCCTCCAAATAAAATTCAGACTGTGAAACCTAAATGCTTTTTGGATTTCAACTTTTGAAACATTTTAAATGCACATTATCTTTTAAAAAATTAAATTATTTAAGATAGATCTGTATAACAAGCTTTATTTTGGACTTGCTAGTTAGATTTTCTGTGTCTCAAACTGTATTTTTTCAGCAGCAGTGTGGCAAGGAAGAAAGATTACTATGTCTGATGGAATAGAAATCAGTGCAAGAAAAGGCCAGTTAGTCATGTAGAGCAGCAATACCTTACACAGCAATGCCAATGAATTGTGTTCAAAGTCATGAGATCTTGAAACCCATTGTACCATTTGCTTTTTTTCTGAAATGGGGGCTGAGATTCTAGAAATTCAAATTATATAAATCATGTTAGGCTTGGAATTCCACATATATGTACAAGTTCTATAGAGTCATTTTATCTGCAGCACTAATCTGCCCCCACAAGCTCACTAATCCTTCATTCAAAATCAAAAGGTCCCCTTTTCTCCTTCCTTTCCATTAACTTCCTTTCCATTAGACTACAAAAGTTTTGGAAGTGATTCCCCAAATGATTCCAAAAATTGTTACCATCTTGTAATTTTAGCATGAAAGAACAGGAATATTAATAAATATATAACTGGAAAGTAAGCAATTGACTTATTGTCATGAAATGTCAGCATTAAGCAAAATTAAGTCAAGGTGAGTTTCTGTCCTACCTCTCCCAACTGGGAGTGTGGCTCCCATCAATCTGCTCAATAGCCAAGAGAGGTTTTCAGCCTAGAAGAAGATATGCACCTTTGAACTCATTCACAGGCTTCCTTTTCATCAACACATCATTTTTACCTGCCACAGCAAGATGATTCCATAGATGGACTCCAGCTGTTGCTGCTTCTGCTGTGCAATGGTGACTCCTAACACAAGCATGTGGATGCCACAAGAAATGGCTGAGATAAGGACAATGGGCATGAGATGCAAGGGGAGGGTGAGGAAGAAGGAGAAGACAAAAAAGGCCTGCCATCCAACTGTGTCACTGGCCTCGTGGTAGCAGGCAAAATTCAAGCCCAAGTAGCAGAATATCTGAGCAGCTATCAGTATCCACAGAATGTATGGCATGAATTTCCGGGTGACACGATCAGGCAGCAGTTCATACTTGCATAGTATAAAGAGGAGGATCTGGGCAGCCAGTCCCACTGATGCTGCCACAGTAGGTGCCAGCTTCTCTGAAGTGTACACCACTGTGCACATGATGATAACGTAGCAATCAAAGAGGGCTGCAAAGACCACCAGGACCAGCAAAGTCTCATGACGCTGCCTCCGGAAGTAAGTCTGGTAGAGGTTCTCCAAGGACTCAGGGGTGAACGTGAGTCGCATAAAACGGGGCAGACAGAGGCAAGAACCTGAGTTCCTCACCGTCACCTCATGGGTCCGGCTGACCCCATGCTCTGGGTCAGAAGGCAAGCTGACTGAATAGTCTGCAGAATACTCTACTGAGTATTCAGGCTCAGAGAATGCCCTATTCCGAGGCATCCTGCTGGTTTCCACCACCCAATCTTTATAAACTTTGTGAAGAGAATCTGCCTAGAAGCCAAAAGTTACCTCAGCGACAGTTCAGCTTCCAGTAATCTGGAAGGCATGGAAGCTTTAGGAGCAGGTATTCAGTGCCTTCTTCCAGTGTCAACCTTCAAGATGTCATCTTCCCAACACATGACAGCCCCTGACTGAGAGAGAAATATATTAGCAGGGGGAAAAAGACAGACTCTTTTCGCTTCAAGTCTGACCTACTATAACATAGGTTGAATCTTTACCAACATCCAGCTCTACAAATCATCACCCTCGGCTGTCACTCCCATTTCTCTTTGACACTTGTAGTAAGAATATATTAAAAATTAACATTTTGCAAACACAAGTAATTATATTATATGACTAAGTTTCAGAAGCATTTTATTAAAAAGCTTAGATAGTCTGGTTTTCATAATTTTAGGCATCAAAGCAACTGGCTTCTAAAAATATAGGAAGATAGAGCAAAGTTAATTCTCCAACCAATTTTCTTCTTTCTAGCTTGTTTCATGCCAGTGCCCCTAAATCAGTAATCGTGTTCACGCAGTGTTTCATCTGGGTTAACAAAACTCAATGGCTATATATTCACAGTATTTACAGGCACTGCTCAAACAAGCTACATTATGGCTGATATAATGTCCTGGTTTCACAGCATACTGAACCACAGTTGACCTAATCTGATTTAAACCTTGTCTGGGCAAATTCACTTGATAAATACAGAAAAAGAAAATTTGGGGGCAAATATTAGATTAATTCCCTCTTGCTAATTTATAGCAATTATCCAGATCTGATCAGAAAAGCGTGCTGAATCCATAAGGAAAGGTAAAGTAGAAGGAATGGTAGTAAGTTCGCCACCCTCCCACAATCTTCCTCAGTTTTTCCATCAAGTCCAGTATCTACCTGCTCAGTTTCATATTCACAGAAAACTGCTCTCCCTTCTTACCAGTTTTCTCAGTGGTGACTGCAGAAGTAAGTTGGTTGAAATCTTTGGATCAGGCCCCATTGAAATGTCGTCTACGCTTATGTGTGATATTCAGCTTTCTCCCATACAGAGAGGAAGTGACAAAGGTGGGTACCAACTCTTCCAAGAGTCTTCTTACATCCTCTTCCTGACTGGCACTTTGAGATGGAGAGCTTGACAAAGGGGGAAATGAAGCCTTTTCAGCAGCAACCCAGCCCAAATAAAGCCACCATCTTTTCAGAAGAACCCCGTTTTCTTTTCAGCAGAAAGGTCCAGCTCAGCTATGCCCCTTTCTCAGTCTTCTCTATTCATCCATCTTACATAGAGCCTCTGGATTCATCTGTATTTCAGGTTTGGGACCTGGGATTTAGGATCAGCTTTCTCTTTCTTGCTCTCCCCTAAGGTGTGCGGTTATTTCTGCCACTGGATGACCCACGTTCCTGCTGCTGTGTGTGAGTTTGTGTGTGTCCCTGCACAAAAGGGAGAGATTTTTTTTTAAAGGTCCCCTCCCTGAGCTGCAGGCAAAGAAAAAGGAGGAGCAAAGCAAGGCCTCTTCGCGAACGATCAAGGAGACCGAGGGTGGCGGTGGAGATGGAAGGAACTCAAAAAAGTGCCAAACGAACACCCACATGTATCAAAACGCTCAGCTACAGAGGGCTGAGAGCTGACTTCCCTCTAGCCCTCCGAAAAACGCCACACAGCACAAGCCAAGACGGAGAATCTTCCAATGGCTGAGGGTGCAGGGTCGGGAATTGCCGGACTTCTGTACCCAAGAAACTCTGGAGTGGGAGAAGATTCAAGCCAAGAGGCATCTCTCTGGATCTCCTAACCAGGAACCTGGCGAAAGAGGAAGATGCCTTTTCTTTCCCAGCCCTCACAGCCCGAGTTGCAATCGCTTCCAGGCTCGCTCTGAGGGCGCAAAAGCGGGGCGGGTTGGGCGAGCTTGCCGTCGGACCTCGCCCGCTCTCCTCGGGTGATTCGGTGGCCCTTTGCCAAGCTTGGACATCGGATCTCCCCAGCCCGCGAAAAAGGATCGCTTCAGGAACCGCACGGCCTCTGTTCTCCGGCGGCGGCGGCGGCGGCGGCGGTTCTCCTCACAGGCGCAAGCGCCTAGCGCCAAAGAGTAGGCTGCCGAGCCGACAGCCGAGACAACCCCACCCCTGCCGGCCCGTTTCCTCGGCCTCTCCCACGCTCTGCTTCGGTACTGGAGAGCCTGGGAAAGGAAAGCCGGCACAGCTGCCCAAATCCCACCCTTTTTCTCTCGGCCCCTTGGAGAACTAACCCTTTGTGCTCTGGGCCAACATCCTAGCAGGAAGGACCCGCAGCTTACCTGGGGCCACTCCTGTTTTTCCCCGCCATGCGTTAATATATTAAGATGCTCAAAGCTCCACCGTCCTAATCTCCACTAAACTTTCTAGAAAGATAACCTGGGCACCTTCGGCAAAGTGCCTTGCCATCATTTAATGAACTCTCGGTTTGAACCTGAGAATTTAAAACAGGCCTGGAAAGTTCTAAGAATCGGAAAGAGTAGATTCACGTGTTGCTTAACTAGAATGTCACTTATCTGGCTTTGTTTTTCACATTTTTCATGAAGGCAAGTTATTCCATTGTTGATTGCTCCGTTAGGAAATTTTTCCTTGGTTCTAGGTTGCTTCTCTCCTTGGTTAGTTTTCATCCATTGTTTGTGTTTTGGTGCTTTGGCAAATAGTTTAGACCTCCTTGTCTTTGTAAGAGCCCCTCAAATATTGGAATACTGCTATCATGTCTCCCTAAAGATTGTCTCTTACTTAATCAACACATGGATTCATACATGTAACACTATTCACCATGGACTGATTAGAGATGTTTTGTTGACTAGCAGGAGTCATATGCTATGTTAAGGTAATACCAAAGAAACCATTACACCATGTATGACTTCAATGTGTCTTCACTATGGTTTGTTCAGCCTATATAATGGGAGCATGAATGACCCATCTGTGAGCAATAAGTATTTTAAGTAGCCAACTTTTATCATATTCCTACAATATAAAGCTAGTAAAAACAGTTTATAGAGCCACTAGACTAGAGCCTCTTTGGATGAGTTTGGACCAGTCCCCCTTTTTTTGGCCCAACCCACTTCACAGGGTTGTTTCTGTGGGGAAAAGGGGAGGAGGAAGAAGTATTAGGTATGTTGCCCACCTTGAGTTATTTGTAAAAATAAAGGTGGTAAACAAATAAATGCTATATTGAGTGATGTTTTTGAATGTTAATTTCATCCAGTCCGATGAACTTACAGAATTATTTTAGATACAAGATTCTTTAAAGTGAGGAAATTACACTGCAGTATTAATAAAACAATCCTTTTATAAATATTTATATAAATTCATTACCAGAGCTAATATGTGTTTTAACTACATTAGGGGGTGGTTGAGTCCATTAAATTAGATACTGCATAGAAAATATTTCTGAACTTAAATGCTATTATGCCACTCTCCTCCAACTCAGAAATGGCCATGCAGACTGAGAATTTGGGGGGCTGGAGTCACCAGCATTGTGAAGATCCTAGATGAAACAGCCAGCACTTATGTTTTGTTACTAGTGTTTTGTTTTGGGTCACACTGCCTTTATACCAGGAAACCAAGCTTTGATTAGTCAAGGAAAAAAGGAAGTGCACATGATCATGTGAATCCATTTTGAATTAGGAAATAAAACTTCTGCCCTGGATGAGAGGTTTGTAGCCCTTCCCCCAATAGATCCATAATAGGCAGATTTAAATTAAGATATATGTCAGCTTTCCACAAACTAAAGGAAAATTATTATAATGGTGAAGGATTTGGAAAGTCCAATAAAAACATGCCAGCATTATGACTTGTTCCATTTCGCATTCCCACCCACCCCCTCCAGCCTTGAGAATTAGTCTCCTTCCCCTTTTCTTCCTCTGCCCATCTCTTTATGTACCTTGCCTATTTTACTGTAGGCTGGAGCCAAGGGCAAGGTCTGTGTCTCTTCTAATTGATGTGAGTCACTAGGGGAATCATCATCTGTCTGAAAAAGCAAATAACAAAATGCAATGAAAACACTAAGGGTTAAATATGAGGGGGAGACACAATGGCTTTCTTTCCATATATGAATGTTTTGCTATCAGAGAATGAAGTTCTCTCAGAGGAAATTACACTGCAGTATTAATAAAACAATCCTTTTATAAATATTTATATAAATTCATTACCAGAGCTAATATGTGTTTTAACTACATTAGGGGGTGGTTGAGTCCATTAAATTAGATACTGCATAGAAAATATTTCTGAACTTAAATGCTATTATGCCACTCTCCTCCAACTCAGAAATGGCCATGCAGACTGAGAATTTGGGGGGCTGGAGTCACCAGCATTGTGAAGATCCTAGATGAAACAGCCATGAGGGGGAGACACAATGGCTTTCTTTCCATATATGAATGTTTTGCTATCAGAGAATGAAGTAGACTTGCTATCTATTTCTTCCGAAGGCAAGAGGGGGCTGGACTACTAATGAAGGAAAATAACAGGGAAGCTGATCAGGGATAAAAGGATAAACGACAAACGACTTCCTAGTGTTAAGAGATGTTCAAAAGCAGAACTGCTTCAGAAAATTACCCTTTCCTGGATATTTTTAAGATGTGGGGGTTGCAATTGTTCAACTCCTTGGAATAAATTCTGTTTTTTTTTTTTCAAATTATTTCTTAGATGTATTATATCAAAATACAAATTAATGAAATTATTAAAGCAAAGATTTTAAATTAAATGGGTTTCAACTAATGCTAAGTGCTTTTCTGCATATAAATGGCATCCAAGAAGCCTCTTGGGCTGGTCCATAACTAAAGTACAACTATCCAAAACATAACCCCAGTACTTTCAGTATCAGGAGGAGCCATTTAAGCTGAACCCTGCTCCCCGCAGAAATTCATCTTAAACAGGGGTGTCAAACTCAATTTCATTGAGGGCATTCAGCATTGCGGTTGCCCTCGGGGGGGCCAGGTGGATGTGGCCTACTGGGTGGGTGCGGATGGAGTGTGGCCTATTGGGTGGGCATAGCCAGCTGTACATCGTTTGCGTCAAGGATGCGTGTGGGAGCCTGGCCAGGAGTGGGATAGATCTGAGGGTCTCTGGCAGAAGGGGGTGGGACCAGGGCAAGTGCCAAGGCATGGTCCACTGGAGGAGCCTCACTGCCTGCTGAAACCCCTCCCCTGGAGCCCATCAAGCCAGATATGTGAAATAGGTGAGGGCCATTTGCTAGCCACTTCCAGGCGATGGTGCATTTCTTCATTCCTCACAAAGGGTGACACCTCCCCAGCATGCACCCAGGGGACAGGGCCGACACGGCAGGGGCTGGTTCCTCGCTGTTTCCAGATGGCCTTGTGGAGCTAAGACTGAATGCGTTTCAGCATAGATGGCCACCACAAAATTCTACATTGGCTCCTGGCCGGCCTGGGCCAGGGCCAAGGCAATGGGGGCCATTCCCTCACTGTTTCCAGGATGGCTTCACGGGCCACATGAAACCATTTCGTGGGTCAAATCCGGCCCCCGGGTCTTGTGTTTGACATGTCTGATCTTAAAGCATCTCGTGATGATGTCTTCTAGCCTCTACTTGAACTTATTTAGTCAATTTGCATAGCTGCTTACTCAACCTGTGATTTGGGACAGCTAACAGTTTAAAAATCACCAAAATAGCCAAACAATAATTAAAACACATCTTACTTGAGACCACCATATATCCACAATAAATAGAGGATGATGTTACCTGGTTGGGTAATGAAATGTTGGCAAGGAAACAACCAAATTCATAGAGAAACAAGAACTCCACAATAAATGTATTCGTGAAAACATAGAAACTAACTTCCTAGCTAAAGGCCTACTGGAAAAATCAGATCTTATGGCTTTGAAGGGCTAGCAGAATTTAGGACCATCTGAATCTTGAGGGGGTGCTGTTCTATAGGACAGGCACAGTGACAGAGAAGACATGTTGTAATGGTATGTGGGAATGACCTTGGGAGACAGGAGGAAGAACGGCAGGTTGGATAACCATCATTAAAAGATATCTCAATCCTAAGGTGACCAACGTTTTTACAATGAAAAGGAGGACACAAATAAATTGAAGAAAAAATATCATAAATAAAAGAAACATTTTATTCATTGCAACAATAATACAGAATACACTATAATATGATAAATGCATAATAAAAAACATTTGTAACAATAACATTTTATATTGTAATTATTCTTACATGCCGTGCCCCCACCTGCAGCTGCCCTGCCAGCACTGCTGCCCCGCTGTGTAGAGCGGGCCCCATGGCTCCCATAGCACGGGGGGCAGCTGGCCACCGCCGCCCCTCACACCCCTGCCCACAGCAGCCCCGCCGCCCCTGCCTCTTGCACCTGCAGCTATTATTGCCCTAGCAGGGCCAAAGATCAAGAGAAAGTTACCGTGGCGTTTGCCGCTCCAATCTCCTCCAGGTATCTTTGGGACTAACTAGGAGATGGTGTAGTTGGGTAGCAGGGAGGGGTGCAAAGTTCCTGCCAATTTGCCTTCGCTGCAGACAACTTACATGTGCAAAGTTTGCCAGCTGGATGTTTTGGCGCGCTCAGCAGCAATTCCTATTGGCTTTCGAAAGCGAATAGGGGGAGTAGCATAGCTCATGCAAAAGTTGAAAAAAAAACATCAAAAAAGGTGCCGGAACGCCATTCTGAGCGTTCTATGAGAAAAAAAAAAGCCCTGCAGATTAGTCTTTAAATATCAAAAAGGAGGACATGTAGGAGGACACTTTTCGAGAGAGGACAGAACTCACAAAAGGAGGACTGTCCTCCCTAAAGGAGGACGGTTGGTCACCTTATAGTCCACAGAAGGAGGTGGGGGATATGGGAAGCATTTCATAAGGGACCCCTCCTAGTTTCCTAGAGAGTAAAAAGAGAGGAGGAGAGCAATACTTTCAGTCTTGCAAGATTCTGTTAATGTAACTTTACAATAAGGACAGAGTTAGTACTCACAATTGTATTTCTTATCTGAACCACCTGGAAGGATTAACACATACTTTCCTAGATCCCTTCAGATGAATTGTTTAATATGTTTCTTAATGTTAATGTTTCTTTAGAAACCCAGTGGTGTCCACCAGGCACCAGAAGCAGTCCAAACAAATGGATCCTATTCCCCTACAATGGAGATTTTCACAGAGTGAGTTGATCACATCACTATAGTACAGCCCTATCAGCACTACAAGATCAAACCAAGGAACAGATTCCACATAGGCCTAAAACTGCTCCTATTAGAATGGCCATATTAAAATTCTAGTATACTTCCCCCATTCCTCTTTTATCTTTTTGAGTCCCTGTCTGAGAATTTTTCATACATTTCTCTCTTCATACAGGCTAAAGCCATGTTAAACTGTTTGTTGCTTTGGCAATGGATCATCTCTCTCTGTCAAGGTCATCTTCTATACTTCCAATATGCCCTTAGACAAATTTAGTATGTGACCTTAGTGTGTAGTGTGTATATGTGTGTTATATGTGTGTGGTACATGGTTTATAGCATTCATATCCTTGAAGGGAGTCTACCATTTATCTGGATAACTGATTCTATTTTTTTGCTTTCCCTTTTACTTATTTATTTTTCTTTGAATAATTTCCTCTGGAATTAATTCTTCTATTTAGTTTTTCAATATTTGGAATCTTGGGAAGGTGACTTGAATAGAAAAATTTCAGTAGAGGCTTCAGATATGCCATGGACATCCACTGTGCTGTAAGCCACTTCTGTACAAACTAAAGAAACAAACATCAAATTCTTTTCAAGATATTTAATATTACAGGTAGTACTCGAACTTACGACCACAATTAAGCCCAAAATTTCTGTTGCTAAGTGAGACATTTGTTAAGTGAGTTTTACCCCATTTTACGATTTTTCTTACCTTAGTTGTTAAGTGAATCACTGCAATTGATAAATTAGTAAACTTGTTATTAAATGAAGGTTGCAAAAGGGGATCCTGGGATTCAGCAACTGTCATAAATGAACCAGTTGCTAAGCACCTGAATTTTGATCACATGATCATGGGAATGCTGCAAAGGTAACTGTGAAAAATGGTCACTTTTTTCAGCACTTTTTTCCAGTGCTGTTGTAACTTTGAACAGTCACTAAATGAACAGTTGTAAGTCGAGGACTACCTGTATGTACAATGTACAAGATTAATTAATTTTTCTCTTAACTTTTCTGGATAGGTTAAGGTAAATGGAAAATGTATGTTGCTAGGCATATTCACTCACTTTTTTGAATCGGTATCATACTTTATATTAAAAATGACTAGGTACCAGATTCAATCCTACGTACCTTAATTCTACTTTCTATATTTAAGGATGAGAGAACAACTCTGTAATGAAAGTCATACTGGCAGCAGCTAGATAAGAAATACTAACACATTGGAAAAGCTGCTTGGGTCATTCAACAGATAAGTGGATTGGGAGATTATGGAAATAGCTTTGGCTGAGAATATGAATGCAAACTGACTTTCCTAAGGAAATATGTTGCTTTGGCCTCACTGATACATGCTGTCTTTTCATCATACATGTTAATTTGAATAATCAAATTTTTGAATAACTACTGCTAATTGCTCTTGGGCATCTTTCCAGCAAAAGACCAAGCAACTGATATAATAAATTACATCCAATGAGGGGTTGGTATAAACATATTAAATATTAATGTTTGGTGTTTTTAATAAATTAATTTTTTTTAAAGTTGCATTTCACTACTGTGGACAGGTAGAAATTTGGAGTTAAATAAAAAATTAAAAATCAAGTTACTGTCACAAATGTTGTATTCTATAACTATTACACCTGGTAATTCATATCATTTTGTCCTTATAGCATAGTTCAGTGGTGGCGAACCTATGACAGGCGTGCCAGAGGGGGCACTCAGAGCCCTCTCTGTGGGCACACGTGCCGTCGCCCCAGGCCCACCTCCCCCCACGGCCTCACCAGCAGCCCCCCTGGAGGAGACTTACCCCCGAGCGCAGCCCACGCAGAGCAGCGTAGCCAAGGACATGGCAGCCGGGCAACGGGGAAAAGACTCCACCCTCGCACCCCATCGCACATAGATGATGCTGCAGGGTGCAGGTGGAAAACATGACCGACATGGCACCTGCCTGGGCGATCTGCTGCATGGGCCATGGAGGCGGTGGGTGGCCCTGAAGGTGGGCAAGGCAGGGGGTGGGGTGGGGGTGGGGCATTTTGGGGCACTCGGTCTCTAAAAGGTTCACTGTCATTGGCACAGTTTATTCCAGTTCACATGCACAATAACTGTCAGGTCCCCAAAGAAATATATATTTAACCCTATGCCTATTTTCCCTTTTTCTGTAGCCTTTCTTTGTGGCCTGCCATTCTGTTGGGACGGGGGGGGGGGAGCTTTTGGGATTGCTTTGCACTGTCTGTGGGATGCCCTTCCTCCAGGGGATGGAATGTCTCTCCCTTATCTCCACTTGGAGCCAGAAGAAATCAAAAGTGCGAAAAGACCAGTTACCAAAACAGGATGCCACCTGTGGATTGGCTGGGATTCAAACGAACACTGAGACCCTGGGGGGAGGAGTATTGAATGTTGCTTTTAATGTATTGCTTCAGGGGTTTTTCTCTCAGATTCCTTACAATAAGAATACAGGTAGTCCTCGACTTACGCCACAATTAAACTCAAAATTTCTGTTGTTAAGTGAGATATTTGCTAAGTGAGTTTTGCCCCATTTTACAACCTTTCTTGCTGCAGTTGTTAAGTGAATCACTGCAGTTGATAAATTAGTAACCTGGTTGTTAAGTGAAATCTGTCTTCCCCTTTGACTTTGCCTGTCAGAAGGTTGCAAAAGATGATCACGTGAGCTTGGGACACAGCAGCAACAGTCATAAGTATGAGTCAGTTGCCAAGCATCTGAATTTTGGTCACATGATCATGGGGATGCTGTAAAGGTTGTAAAAACGTTCATAAGTTCCTTTTTTTCAGTGCAGTTGTAACTTTGAACAGTCACTAAATGAACTGTTTTAAGTTGAGGACTACCTGCATACAAAATTAATTGCTTACTTGATTTGTGCAACACTTCAGTGATTCACCTTTTGAAAATTCACTTGCTTTCATTTTCTTTCAATATAACCTGTATGTTGGATTATTTTCTGTGTTACAAATTAATTTCTGGGATACAGACTGTGGGATATAGCTGAACATAAAGGCTATTTTATTATGTCATCAATTTTTTAAAATTGAATCAGTTTAAATACCTGTGGTGACATGGCAGAACTTGCAGACTAAAAAGTTAACTTAAATCTCTTTTTTCCAAAGTTCTCTGGGGCTATACACCTAGTTCCATTTCCTACCTTGACATAGTTGCTTGGTAATTACAGCTGTCATATCTGGTCTTTATTCTTATTTATTTTAAACACTTATATAGCCTCCCATCTTATAACAAAGTCTGGGGCAGCTCCCGATCAAAAGTTAAAACATAAAAAACATTATTATAAAAAAAACACATGCATTAAAAGCAAAAACCTGGTGCCAGGTCAAGATTACAATTTATTTGTTTGTAAAATTTATTGGCTGTCCATCTTACCATGGGTTAACTCTGGCAGCTTATGCAGTCACCTTATCTTATTCCAGCGCCTGGGTGAAAAGCCAGGTCTTCAGTACTTTACAGAAAACTAATAGTGTGGAGGCCTGATGAACTCAAGGGGGAAAGAGTGATCCATAAAGTAGGGACTGCCATAGAAAAGGAAATGTTTTCTAGCTCCCATAAGATGTTTAAGGGAATTGACTACAAATGTGCCCACTCTGTCTAACCTGGTAGGACAAGTAGATGTCTTTAGGGAAAAGTGGTCCCATAGATTTTTCAGAGGGCAACTCACTTAGGAGGGAGGGAGGGAGGAAGGAAGATTGTGGATATTGCTAGAACATGCATGAAACACTGGCTGGACGACTTTCAGCCAGTCATTCACTCTCACCCAACCCACCTCACAAGATTGTTGTTGTAAGGAAAACAGGAAAAGGAAGGCGTATTAGGAATGTTCTCTGCCTTAAGATATTTATAAAAATAATAAAAAATAATAAATAAAAATTAATAGAATTAACAAAATAGAAAGGAAGGAAGGAAGGAAGGAAGGAAGGAAGGAAGGAAGGAAGGAAGGAAGGAAGGAAGGAAGGAAGGAAGGAAGGAAGGAAGGAATTGCCAGAATACTTCCCAAATTTATAATTCTGAGTGTATAGCAATTGTATTGATTTGAAAGTGATTTCTACAATTTCTGCTTGCAGTAGCTTTCTACAGCCATGTCACACTGGAGTCTAAGGAAACAAAAGCACAAATGTAACATTAGCTACTTCCACTCTTACAGCATATGCGTTACTGCTTGGTAAGATGGGGCAGCCAATAAATTTTACAAACAAACAAATATGAACCATAAGATTGCTGTACAGTTTTTGTGGTATGGCAATCTAAGCCTTATTATTCCACTTGTTTCAAGTGAAACAATACAATATGTTGTGTGCTAGACGTTTCATCATAGATGGCATAGATCATATGTCTTAAAGCTGTCAGCAAATATTGTATAGCACAAAATGAAAGCTATTTTGAAAATATCTGCTTTCCCAGTAAGAGTAATGCATTGCTCAAAATGCTGTTTCTAGAAATACTGTAGGTCTGCATGCCTCCAACTATAGCAGCACCCAGTGGTCACTGCAGTATATTTTTCCACCAAGACAATGCTTTCTTCAATGGTGTAATATAGGACTTGTGCTCCACAAAGCATTTCAGCACCAAGACAGATTCCCGCCCCCACTTCATTGGATAAACTGATTACCAAATGTCCTTCTTTAATACAGTTAGAAATGGATGGATGCACGTTATATGCAGAGACCTGTAACCCAGCCATCTTTGAAACAGCTACCAAACATCATGTGCTTATCTCTTGCTGTCAGATTTCTTAGAGGAGGAGGAGGAAATGATCCTAACATTTGGTGTAAAAACAAAACTAAAAAAAAATCCAGATTTGGAAAATGAGTAGCCATGGTAGAGTGAATTGCAGGGCTACCATGATGTTGATTTTTCAGCCAAGCATAGATTTAATTACAAAATGCAGATAGCAGGCCAGGTTTTCATTTAAGGAAACATCAAGCTCAATACTGTATATAAAATAACTGTAAAAGCAGGTAGGTGGTTTTAAGTTAGCACTCATCCAAACTAATGCATTTGCCATAGTTCCAACAGGTAGAAAGGTATACAAGGGTCTCAGTCCCAGTTAAATATTTTAAAAATAAACAACTGACACAGTAGATTTAATACAGAGATTTCAAGTACATAAGGCCTTGGCTAGAACAGCAGGCAGGAGTGCATTTTCTATCAATTAGCATTAAAGATCCTCTATGCCTACAGGCATTTTATTTAAGTGATAATCTGCCAAATAATACAGTGCACTCAAATTCTGTACTCCCGCAGAAAGTCTAGGAGTCTGAACAGCAGAAAATATATTGGAAAAAATTTCCTGCTATTATGTAACTGAAGCTTAATTACCTTCAGTTACATTAGTTCCATTTTTTTCAGAAGCAAAGCCTGCACTAGGAAGCAATATTTTGCACAAAAATGTGTGTGTGTGTGTGTATTGTATGTTTGTGTGTTTTAAATAAAGACTGCAATTAAAGGAGGCATGCCCAGAGGATAACAGCTTTGGCAAAATGTTGCCTTTCATGTGCCTTGCTGATTGTGCCCCCACCATTACAAATTACAACAAGCTGCTGTCCAGACAAATATTCAGGACAGGATCTGAGCAAGCTGTTATCTTTCCAATATTTGATGTTCTGATCTATAAGTACTGCCCTCTCCTTCAGTTAAGATGGCATTTTGATACATTAATAGACATTACAAAGAACTCTGTCCCAACAACTTCCCATTTTTTTTTCTTGAAAGTGAGTTTTCTTCGAAGGCTTTGAGCTATTCACACACAAACACCAAATTAGAAATTATGTAATTTGAAAATCAATGCAAAGGAGGGTACCTATTTTAAAATAAAGTGAATGCAATGTAATTTCATTAGCAGCAATTTTACAAATTCCTAATTGTGCAACAATGTACTATTTTAACCCTTCTGGAATACTCCCTTTCCATTTGGCATAAGAGCACAAGTGCATGGGGAAGGGAGATTAAATTGTCTTGTAAAGAGAAGTGAGCAGTTTCTTAAACCTCTTTCCCAAGGATACCTATTCTTTGAAGCAGCTCCTGTATTTACAAACAGGAGAAAGAGGAATCCTAGGTTACCAGAAAAGCCTGCAGCTTCTTATATATCTAAACTGTTATATCCGATAAGCTATAAGCAGTGTAGGGTGGAGAACTGGACATGGAATTTCAAGAATGAAAAGGTTATCAAGAATTCCTTCTTAGGACTCATTTGGACATTAATGATGTAAAACATTTAGACAAACCAGATCGCAAAAAAAAAGTGCAATTTATGAATATACAGCATATCCAGTAGCTTAAAGGAATTTGACATTACAAAGCATTCACAAGCAACCAGAAGAATAAATATCACTTCTAGAAGACAGGAAATAAAGGAACATTATTGAAGAAATTCACAGAAACCTATCACAGACACACACACAGCAATGTGTGTTTTATATTCATACAGAGAGGATAAACTTGTTTTTTGGCTGTGAAGCATCTTACTCCTTCTGTATTTTGATTAAAAGCTAGATAGTTTTCACACAAGTGAGACTTTTCTTATAAGGCAGCCTTGCAGGACTTCTCCATGTCCATCCCGAGAACACCGTCTCTTTCCTTGGCTCAAAGAACTCACAGAAGGCTTGTGGAGGGAAATTCTCAAAACCTTCTGAAAACTGAAACCTCTCGGTGACCTGATGGTTATTTTCTCAATTAATATGTACTTTCAGGTACAACTGCTACCCTCTAACACACTCCCAAAGGAGTGTTACGCCCATACCTTCCAATATACGATGTAATACAGTTGCCAATCCCTATGGGCCTTCACAGGGACTGGAGAAACAGAATCAGAGAGAGAGAGAGATCAAGGCACACCGCCATCTTAACTTTTTGTACTATTTTGAGATGTTCTAAATAGCAATAGGTGCTAGATGGAGGGTAATGTCTGACTGCACATTACAACTACTATGTTACATTTGACCATGAGAAAAATCAGCTAAATAACTGATTACATATAAAAGAGTTTTGTTCTCCAGAATTTCTCAAATTTTAGTTTAATGAAGCCTAAGATCTTCAGTATTTGGGACTACTATATAATCTTCCTAAATTCATGAAGTGGGATTTTTTGGGCAACTCACCCATTTGTTCATAAGGCATTCTTTCTCTTTTGTCAGATAATATGCCATGATCCTTAGAATGGTAAATAATTTCAATAATTTGTATCCTAAGTTAGATCAGTTTTTGGAGAAACTCCATGACAGAGGTTGTATTCTAGGTAGTTGAAAAACTGTTTCTATGATCTACAAGCCAGCACCAATTCCAGAAAAGAGTTAAAAGTATTGCTTAATAGTTATCCTTTTGCCTGAATATTCTTTCAACAAAAAATCCAAGAAGCACTTATCAATACAGTTGAGTTTTCTTCATTTCTTTCTTTGGAATAGCATCACACCCCACCCTACCCCTAACTTAATGCCCATTTAAGTTTAGAAAAAAAATATAAATATGCTATAAATGTTGTTCCTTTTTATAACTGGGGTAATGGTGTTATTTATATGGAGTTCTTGTATCATTCCTTGCTAAGGAATTATTTGTTTGTATGTTTTTAAATTTACTTCTAGGACAAGCATGTAAGCTGTTCAGAAAATCACAGTGGCATATAAATCAATCAATCAATCAAACATGTTAGTACCAATCATGAAATCAACAGGCCACCACTGAGTTTGTTTCACCTAGTCTCTTTCAATTCAGGGGCTCTGTTAATTATACTTCAGTATATACAGTTAGCTTTTCCTTTTTCCCTTCCCTTCTTCCCTGATTTAATTTACAATTAGGGAGGAAGGGAAAACAAATTAAGACAAATTAAGCTTCTGTGTGATTGAATCTCACATCTGGTGAAGATTACATTCTTTGCCAACTCCAGGGAGGTATACACAAACATGCCTAGAACAATATGACTCAAATAATGATCAAATCAACTTACCACCTAACTCATTTTGTAGGAGTTACTGTCTGTCCCATCAACAGCTCATAATGGCTACTAGTGCTTCGATCCTGGCTACTATGCTATATTTTTCCAATTTTTATTTGAAAAAACAGGAATTCTTTAACCACTTAGTAATGAAGTGATTCAAAAATATGGATAAAATAATTTCCAGTGTAGGACAAAGAGGAACAACTAATTGCTTCATTAGAGGCTGAATATCAGCATTGGTTTTGAGGAAAATAATAAGCAATATTAAAATAAGTGATTTAAACAGAAGTAACATATTTTAGAGTCATCTCAGTCTATGGGCAATTTTTTTGCAGGGGAAAAGAAAGGACAGGGTATTACTGTTGTTACTGTTCCTGAGGCATTCAAAGAGGTCTCCTATATTGACCTATTTGTAGTAGAACAGAAAACAGCTTTGAGAGTAAATGATGAAGGAAATTTGCCTTTAGGGAATTTCTGGGTCTTGCTTCCTTTTGCAAGGAGCAATTCTTGATGCCTCTCTCAGAATAGCTATATCACTTGCTATTGGCACAAGCTGCATCTTCTTGTGTTTTACTTGATGTTTTTGAGCAAGGCAGTTCGTGCATTGACCACAGCTTTGAAGGCATCCTCACTGCCTGGAGCCATACACTTATCTGGGTGGAGGAGCACTGCCAACTTTCGATAGGCCTTGTTTACTTCATCCCTGCAGAGCAAGAGAGACAGAGATAATGGAAGAGTGCAATATAAATGAGTCTATTTATAGAACGATAAATCTTAAAATGAAAGTCTTTCAACTACCTAAAACTATTTGAATTATACCAATGAAGAACTACAATTATTATTCATTTCGGTTCATCAAGTTAATAGAAATCTAAACAAACAGAAAAATAAAACTGAATATACAGCTATATTCAGAACTTGGAGGTCCATTATAGCTTCATCTCCTGCATTGCTCTAGACCAGTGGTGGCGAACCTATGGTACACGTGCCAGAGGCGGCACTCAGAGCCCTCTCTGTGGGCACGTACACCGTTGCCCCAGCCCTGCCTCCCCCTGTGGCCCCCTCCTCACCGGAGAATCGCGCAGCCAAGGACATGGCAGCTGGGCAGTGGGGACAAGACACTGCGCTCATGCCCCATCACGCGCAGATGATGCTGCAGGAGGAGGGCATGGCTGCCATGGCACTGCTGGACTGCCATGGCGATCTGTGTCGGGCCATGGAGTTGGTGGGTGGGCAGGGTGGGGGTGGAGCAGGGACAGCTGGGGCAGGGGCAAAGGGGGATCGGCGGTGGCGGTTTTTGGGCACTCGGCCTCTAAAAGGTTCGCCATCACTGCTCTAGACTTTTAACTCCAGACACAGAATAACCATATTTTCAGAAAACATTTCTTGTCATAGACGGTACTCCCTCCATTCTCAGTTCAGAAGAAAGGGCTGGATAATGAGCAATGACTAACTGACGTGGTCAATGGACACTGGAGAACTTACATCCATTAGGAGCCAGAGGGAAAAAAATGAGGCCTAGGGTAAATAGCTGATTATTGTGAAGATATATACTGGCCAAATATCTCCTATCTATACATAAAATACTTGCCATAAATTAGTAGATAACTTCTTAGATTTTCAAAATTCAGAGCTTTATTATTCCTTCTAGTCCAACTCTATCTTGCTCATTTCTGCACCAGCAAAGATTATTTATTCTGTAATGGTTAGGTCCTTCCTTACCTTGTAGCTCCTGGTTTGACACCCAACATATCCCAACTATCCTTGCTGTTGCGAATCTTCCGGATGGTGTCTACTTGCTCCTTAGTGAAACTGTTGCTTGTGCTGGTTATGGGGCGCTTTCCACCATTATCACATAAATCAACAATAGCTGAGTAGAAAGTCTGCAAGCATGGAGAAGGCAAAGTTACAAAGTTCTTGTATGTGCCCATTGCTCAGTAATCTTTATTTCATTAAGCAGATCCAAGTCCAAATAATTTTCTTTGCCTTCCTTTAGCAGCTCCTTCTATTGTTTTAAACTCAGAAATCGTGAGAAAGGAAATGGCCTATAGCAGGGGTAGGCAACCTCAGCTATGCTGGCTCAAGAATTCTGGGAGTTGAAGTCCAAGAGTCATAAAAGAGTTGAGGTTGCCTACCCCTGGCCTACAGGGACTGTAAGAGTTTTAATCTTACAAGCAGAAAATCTTCAAATAGTGCAGAAGCATACAGCTACATCATGCCGCTTTACTAAGTGCTTTCTTGGTTTATTTTCAGTTGGAATATTGTGCCATGTGCCTTCAGATCATTCATTAGATTAATTCTTGTATATTGAAACAATCTCTTGCACTATTTGTTCTTGGTTTGTTTGTTTTTTACATAAAGAACTCTGTGCCATTTGAAAGACTAAAGGGAGGTAATTAATTTAAAATTCCTTGGAAAACAAGAGAGAAAATTGCATATGCAGACAGAGAGAATAAATGAGAATTTGCCAGTAAAAGATGAGACCTTAGACATTTTCTCTCCAAGTCAAGAAAAGATACTGTTAGCTTCAGAATAGAACAAGAAAATATAAAATAATGTCTTAAGAACAAAAAGTGAAAAATGACAGAAAAACATCTGCATTCATGACTGGAAATATTTCTGGCATGTTTGTATTCATGCCCCCAAATAATGTTTCATATACTTGCAACAAGTCAAGGTAACAATGGTAAAAGAAAAAGATCAACAGCATTTCATTTTGTATGAGGATAAAGATTTACAAAACAAACAAAACAGTTGCTACAAAAACATCTTACAGAATTAAGGAGAAACTTCCTGACAGTGAGGACAATTAACCAGTGGAACAGCTTGAGTCCAGAAATCATGGGTGCTCCATCACTGGAGATTTTTAAGAAGAGGCTAGATAGTCACTTGTCTGAGATGGTATAGGTCCTCCTGCTTCAGCAGGGGACTGGACTAGAAGACCTCCAAGGTCCCTTCCAGCTCTATTCTATTCTAAGAAGCAGATTCTCACAAGAAGAATTCAGTCAAGGATATCTAGATTACAAAGCACAAATCATCACGCTTCAAGGAAAAATGATGCAGGAGGACTGCCTTGTTTTGCATAGTAGATTTTACCTGGAACATCTCATTAATTCCCTCTCCAGTCTGTGCAGAAGTTTCAAAATAAAGAAATCCTCTGCTTTCTGCCCACAATCGTCCTTCACTTTCATCCACACAGCGCAACTTGCCACAATCAATCTGAAACAAAAATGAAAGAACATTGTAGTATTATCCTATCTAATTATTTATATCAGTGGTGGCAAACCTATGGCATGGGTGCCAGAAGTGGCATTCAGAGCCCTCTCCCCAGTCCTAGGCCTTCAGATGGGTTTTATAAAACCTTTTCATTTTAGGCCTCTGCCGCCATGTGAAAAAAAAAGGTTCAATCAATCAGTCAATTTCAACTTCTTGTGGGGAAAAAAAAGATCTTGCAAAGTTGGAATTGATTGATTGAACTTTTTAGTCCCACCCAGTCTGCCGTTACCACTGCAGCCATGCCCACCCAATGGGCCACACCCACCCAATGGGCCACACCCACCCAATGGCCACCCGGCACCCTACGATGCATACGTGGGTTTTGTGTTGCAGTTTGGGCACTCGGTCTCTAAAAGGTTCGCCATCACTGATTTATATGCTCCTAATCCCTTTAAGCACTTAATGAACATGAGTTTTCAATGCCCTCTACCAGTCTTTACCTTATTGGCACAAACCACAAAAATAATGTTTTCCATGTTTCCATGTGGTCCAAGTTCTTGTTTCATCTCAGCCAGCCATAAGTCAAGGGCATCAAATGATTCCTTTTGCCCAACATCATACACTAAGATTACACCCTGGGTGTCTTTGTAAAATTCATTGCGAACCTAATATAAGGCAGAAATAATGCAGGTGAATTTAATAAACCAGTAGACAGTTCTAAAAAAGTGACTTAAACTATAAATAAGCAGCGCATCAACTTAAATTGGGCAAATAAATTTCTGACCATTTATGTGCAACTGCAGAAATAATATAATATGTGCATTACATCTGAACAAGTCCAAGTTTGCAATATATAAATATGCCTATTTGGATAAAGTGCAAGAGTACAAATGTTTCCATTTAGCATGCACTAGTTGACAAAAAAATTATTACATCAGTACACTTGACATAGAGGTGAGAAGTTCAGACAAAAAATCTTGGATACAATGTTGGTGTAATGTACAGATTATGGGGCTGTTTCTCAGTGATTATTTTAACAAATAAAGTGTACTTGCACGCTATGACCACTCCAACTAGTTTAGCTATTCGTTCTCCTTCTAAACAACATAGCTACAAACTACTCATCCTTGGCTTATTTTCTGCTAGCAGACAGACTCAGTGCAATTACTATTTTAAGAGGGGGAAAACCCCCCCAAAAAGCATCCATAAATAAACTTACTTCAAGCCATGGACTGGATAAAATCAGTCACCATGCCAAGTTTGCATAATGCAACCACCAAATCTAAATTATAAATCATTATTTATATCCCACAGTGGCTAGGTTCACACATTAGGCTCAGCCAAAAGGGGACTACATGGCACACATGTTCTGCATAACTTGTTCCATCCTCATTGCTAAAAAAGCCATCACCTTTCTTACCTCATAAAAGAAGGAGTGTCCAGCCATGTCAAAGATATTCACTTTGATTTCTCGGTCTCTAATTTGCACTCTAAAAGGAAAAGAGTCCTAAGATGCAAGTATGGGCACTCTAAAGAATCTTCTTGCTGTTACTTAGCTAGCATTAATAAGCATCACAATATGAAAGTTTTGCCACTAACAGAATTGGGTATTGGTATAGTCATTAAAAAAACAGAGCAAAAGTTCCAGGATTAATTTAAGACCAGCTATAATTATTAAATAATCGACAAAAGGAGCTTTAAGAACAATCAGCACACAGCAGCATCACAGTAAAGAATTGATAAGACTTTTAATACTTTCCCTATGTCATACACGAAGACACCTGCAGGAAAACATTCACTGGCCTCATATTATATGCAATGGGAGGTGTATTGAATCATCACCAACTGCAAAACTGCTATTTCCACCAACAGCAGAGCAGAAAAATCACAAATGATTGTGGTGGATGAATCATCAAGAGCATTTTTCCATCTCTTGCATGTACAGATTTTAGCTTTGCTCACATATTTTCAAGAGCTGTTGTCGGTAGCTGCTGCCTGTTATAAAAGAAGGGTACTCACTTGGTGACACCATAATCAATGCCAATTGTTGCAAGATATTTGGGCACAAATCTCTTCTCACAATATCGCTTGATGACGCAGCTCTAAAAAGTAAACAAAAAAGCTTGTTATCAAATGGATAGGCTATTTATTCAGCCCAGTCTGTGCTCTGCTTTTCATAACTAATTCTAATTAAAATATTTTAAAAAACGGTTTTATGTAGATCTAGCAGTTAAGTAAATACAGTAGTAGTACAACTCAAATAAATATAGCTGGAATAAACATAAAATAAAAAGTAATATAAATTTAAGTTTAAAGCTGAATTTATGTAATTAAGTATTAATAATTTTTATTACAGTCAACTACGAGTCAACACAAAAGATGACATACATAAAACTAATATTAACTATAAGTAAATACACGTTATCAAACAGAGCCCACCTGAATCTGTAATAAATATGTGTAAATAAAACTGATCAAATGAGCATGGAATTTGATTTGATGTGGGTTTATCAGCTCAAAGTAGGTGTCAGCATACAAGTATAATGAGACATGCCTGTTTTAATGGCTCCTAAGTAAATATAATTTTTTATTTCCTACTCAAAATGTATATTTCAGTTTTTATTATTCATATAGGCAACACCATAAGTTTACTGTATAGCAAGAATAGAATGGAACTTCAGTTCTTTTACAAAGAGATATTCTGATATCCATATAGAAAAGAAAGACCCATCTGCAGGATGCAGGCAGCACACAAAACCACGCCTCTTCCAGTCCATGAAAAAAACTCTCTCCATGTAACCGGTCCCTGGTGCCCAAAAGGTTGGCGACCTCTGACATAGGGAGTAGATAAGACTTGTCATTTTCATGTGAAATTTGGAATGTTGTATTAATAGCAATAGTACAGCTAGTCCTTGACTACAACAGTTGATTTAGTGACTGTTCAAAGTTACAAAAGCACTGAAAAAAGTGACTTATGACCGTTGTTCACACTTACGACCTTGCAGCATCCCCATAGTCACGTGATCAAAATTCAGACACTTGGCAACTGACTCATATTTATGACAATTTTAGTGTCCTGGGTTTGATCACCTTTAGTACCTTCTTACAAGGAAAGTCAATGGGGAAGCCAATTCATTTAACAGCCATGTTACTAACTTAATGACTGCAGTGATTCACTTAACAACTGTGGCATGAAAAGACATAAAATGGGGCAAAATTCACTTAACAAATGTTTCACTTAGCAACAAAAATTTGGGCTCAATTGTGGTCATAAGTGAAGGACTACCTACCTATATGTTCAAAATAAAAATACAGCCAATCAGTCAGGTTCCCAAATCCGGCCACCTGCTTGGTTGTGTACTGATTCATTAACTACCCTTTCTATTTTCCAAAGTGCCTGAAGGCAGGACAAGAAGCAATGGATGGAAACTAATCAAGGAGAGAAGCAACCTAGAACTAAGGAGAAACTTCCTGACAGTAAGAACAATTAATCAGTGGAACAACCTGCCTCTAGAAGCGGTGAATGCTCCAACACTGGAAGTTTTTAAGAAGAGACTGGACAGCCATTTGTCTGAAATGGTATAGGATTTCCTGCCTGAGCAGGGGGTTGAACTAGATGACCTCCAAGGTCCCTTCATCATCATCATCATTATTATTACTCTGAGCCATTCATCACTTTTACTCTGCTTACATCGAAGAATAAGACTATAGCAAAGCAGCTGAAGGAAAACAGAGATCTTCTCTCGTTCAACTCTTATCTGGCAGGAGCCTTCCATCATTCTACAGCATGGGTGTCAAACTCGCCACGTCACATTACGTATCATGACATATCGCGATTCTTTTTGCATTGCCAGCAATGGGATGGACGCGGCTTTGGTATGATGAAACCAGCCTGTGGGCTGGCAGTTTGACACCCCTGTTCTATAGGAATGGGGGGGGGGGGGAAAGGAGGGAAGCAGAACTGTTCTGCTAGCAAGCCTGAGATAAGCAACTATTTCTATTCCAACCTGTCACTATATAAATAATGAATGAGAGTTTGGGCTTGTTTTTGCCCTGTGTGTTCTTTTCTCTACTATGTAAAGCGGAGGGTTATATTACTGGTCTTTGAAATCTACAGGTAGTACTCAATTTATGATCACAATTTCTGTTGCTAAGTGAAACATTTGTTAAGGAGTTTTGCCCCATTTTATGACCTTTCTTGACATAGCTAAGTTAATCATTGCAGTTGTTAAGTGAGTAACACAGTTGTTAAGTGAACCTGGCTTCCTCATTGATTTTGCTTGTCGGAAAGTCACAAAAGATGATTGCATGACCCTGGGGCACTGAAACTGTCATAAATATGCCAAGCGGTTGAATTTTGATCACAACCATGGGGATGCTGCAAAGATTGTAAGTGTTAAAAACAGTCATAAGTCATTTTTTTCAGTGCTGTTGTAACTTTGAACGGTCACTAAATAAAATGTTGTAAGTCAAGGACTACTTGTACATTGGAATATTCTTCAGCTGAAAAGTGAAGTAAATTTTTTAATAATTAAATAACATTTAATTACTATGCCTTAAACCAGATTTTGTTAAGCTGCCATCATTCCCAAACATTGGCTCTGCCTGTTGTGACCATGAAAGTTCTAATCCAAAACTTCTGGAAGGCATCAGATTCTGAAAGGCTAAAACAATCCATGATCAAGATGAATAGAACACAGCCGGGCAGTGACCCAGATCTAAAGGGATTCCAGTCACGTATGTGGACTGCATCCGTTGGTACTTCTTTAAATCAAATGTGCCTTCCTAGGATCATGTAGCTCTGAATCACTCTTTCCTTTTCAAATTCAGATCTCTGCACAGGCCTAACATAAAAGACAACAACTCCCACATGAACTTACATAAGTAAAATAAATGGAATTGGAAGGACACACAAGTGGAATTAGAATACCGTAATTATTTTATTTGCTGGCTGCCCTGCTCCTAAAGACTAGGGTGGGTATTTGTTTAATAGAGTGGTCCTCATTAATGATTTATTGAACCACAATTACAAAAAAATTGTGAAGCACTAATATAAATGTGCATGAATACTAAGAAACTGTGCAATGCAGAGTCTGCCGTCTCACATCTTTCTGCTGAATTACATCGCTATTGTTAACATTTAAACTATCTCCTGCCTATTCAAATTACTCTTGTTTACAATAAAAATCTAAAAATGTGTGTGTGTTGTTCCTACCGTTTGTTCCACTTTGTTGCAAATTTTGATTATTTTTGTGCATTCATTTCAGTTCACATAATGGAGCTATCAGTGTATGATGCAACATGGAGGGTTTGTCTTTCAGCCAGCTTGTCCCAGAGCCTGATAATGATGATGAGTGAGAGGGAATGACTGGCCCATGATCACCAGCTGCCTTCTCTGCCTGAGAGAAAACTAGGACCTGGGTCTCCCTGCTTCTAATTTATTTTTAAATTGCTAGAAAATAGAGGAAGTAAATATAAAATAAAGTAGGTGCAATAGAGACTGCAGCATTGTAAGCTAATGCTTGTATTTAGAGTGCATTTGAGACAGGGAAATCCAATCATTAATTTTTTATTTTTGTATTTCATTTATATAACATTTTTATACAGCTAAACACTCTGGTCAGCAAACAGATAAAAAAACAACAAAGCAAGAAACCACTATATAAAAATTACAAAATTAAGTTCCCTAAAAAAAAATCTTACTAGAAACTTAACAGATATGCCTGCACCCACATCAGAGTTCCATTAGTAACTTGGGTCAGGTTTTCACAGCCTTCTGGAAAGTTAGAAATCATTTGAAGAGCATTGGACTGAGAAAGACAATTCTACCAGTATAATCTAAGAAGTACATCTAGATCCATCACTCCATACTTTTAGATAGTAAGTACATATTTGCATATAAGATCCATTTTCAATTCCAACAGTATCCAGTGTTGTATGTTCTGATCAAGGAAATCTTCATTTTAATGGAATCCGGATGCTATACTGTACATACATCAGATTAAGAGCACAGAGGACAAGTCTTGACTCAGTGGTGGCATTCACTTATACTAGACAAATGTAGAATAGCTACCCTCATAGACAAGTTGTGACAATAAATAAATATCTAATATCTTGAATAGGAGCAGAATAAAATGAAAAATAACAATGTTCCATCTTGAGAGTCCAGCCAGTTATGAGTCCCAGATCATATGGTTTCAACTTTTAAGAGGCACTTATGTCAGGTTTGACACAATTTATTAGAACTTATTGAATTGATTTATTTATAACTGATTGATTTATAACTGATGCTTGTTATATTGCACCATATAAATTTTACTTTTATGCTATTAACTTTTTGACTAAAGAATTAATCCAATGAAATAATAAAACAATTTTCTTGGTCAGTTCTCTTAAATGAGAAGCTGTTTACCATTTTTTATTTTTATATTAACCAACAGTGATTTTATCTGAGGACCAATTGCTGCTTCAAGAGTTCTAGTACGTTGCATCTTTTTTCAATATTCACCACCAGCTCTCTGGGTTGCAAGAATCCCCTTCTTCATGACCAGTAAACGGCAGCCAAGAATCTTGTGTTTCTTTGCTGTGCCCTAGTGACCTGTCTGGATATTTGCAGCCAAAATACAGTATGGTAAATTTAGCTAGAAAGCAAGTCAAATAAAGTTGCCACTGCCTTCATCTAACATACCCTGCAGAGTTTACATGTGAATAAATGTAATGAAATAATCCATATCATTTAAAAATCTTGGATAGGATGTATTTATTTAATGTTAATTATTCTTAGTAGTTTTTTAAAAAAATATTTAATTGATTTTATAATGCTCAGGAGTATTTGTTATGGGCGGCCACATAAATTTGACAATTAAAATAAAAATTAATAACACATAGCAAAACATTTTGGAAGCTCCACCTTAACCCAACTCCTCTACCTCTCCAGACCAAAAAAACCACATTCTATTCCACAAACGATCGAGTGTCACAACGGCCTAATAAAGCAAAGAGACCTAATTGGTCAGCCAGCTTGTCGTTCTCCTGCTTCGGACCAATAAGGCGCCTCTCCTTCTATTCCTACTTTTTTTTACCTTGCCAACCTCGGCGTTACCCATGGAGATTACTTTGATCCTTAAAGACTTGCGCATTTCTTTCCGTTTCGTCTCCATCCTAGCGAGTAAGACTAGAGAAGCTGACTGAAGCTCACTTTCTTTACGGGGTCTGACTAAAACTCAACAGACTGGCGCAAATCACCATCACAATGCCCCGGCTCCAGTCCTTACTTCCGTTATCTCCGTCTCCATAGTCGGTTCAACAAGGCTAGTAAAGCCCCAACAATGCTTCGCGAGTCTTCATGATATCGCGAGAATTATCTAAGGACTGTCTCCGGGCGCTCAATGCAAAAGCAAGGAAGTCTCGCGAGATCTAATCAAAGTAGTCCTTTCGGTAGTCGGAAAGTAGGGGAATTTGCCGCGTTTCTGTTTAATCAGAGGCAAGTTTGATTTCAAAGTGATTGTTTCTAGATAAGCTGCTATAGAATCGCAGCGTTCAGTGATATAGTTACCTGGAATAACCCTGTTCGAGTATATGTATCTCATTTTGTCTAGAATTGTGCTGGAAGCGAAACTGTTTAATGGAACCCCCTTTCCATTATGAAAAGTCTGGATTCCTACTTCTGACACCGCAGAAGCCGGGAAAGTGCTGGATGTATATTAGGCAGAGAGCTTGGTCTCCCCAGAGACCAAAGAGTGAATAAAGACAACAGGCAGAAAATGTCTGGGAGTTTTACATTTATTATATGGCTGTGGAAGTAATTTATTTTAACTCAGCAGTGGTGCACGAGAGGAAAAACTGAACCTCTCTAATGTTTCTGTTCGGTGCATTTCTTCGGAACCCTTCATGAACCATGCAGCATTCTGCCTTATTAAAAAGAAGTCTAGCTTTATTGCAGAAATCTTCATGCTGGATTTGATTATTGAGTGGTGAAGCAAATGAACACTGTACAAAGAGGCTTTTTAATGTTTTTTTTTAAAGAAGAAACTGGATAGCCATTTGTCCGAAATGGTATAGGGTTACCTGCCTGAGCAGGGGGTAGGACTTGAAGACCTCCAAGGTCCCTTCCAACTTTATTACTATTATTATTATTATTATGTTTATGGATCATCACACAGTCAGCCAGATGTTCAGACTGGATTTGGCATTTTGTCTACCTATCGAGTCCTTACCCAGGACCTGGGATAGGCAGATGTGGATGTTTGATGGTATTACAGATATTGCAGGATGGAAGCAGTTCCTAGTAAGGCCGCCTTTTGCAATTGACTAATAGCGAATTTGTCAATGCCAATGGTGTTCAAGTGGTGCTCCAGTTGTTTTGGGATTGCACCCAAGGAGCCTATTACTATTGGTACTACCCTTGCTTGCTTTTGCCACAGTCTTTCTATTTGTAGGTCTTTGTATTTTGTTATCTTCTCCAGTTCTTTCTCGTCTATTCTACTGTCTCCAGGCACTGCCACGTCCACTATCCAGACTTTTTTATCTTTCTTATTGACAATTGTTAAGTCTGGGGTGTTATGTTGCAGGTGCTTGTCTGTTTGAATTCTGAAGTCCCAGAGCAGTTTAATTTTATCATTTTCTATGACTTTCTCTATTTTATGATCCCACCATTTTTTGCTTACAGTCAAATGATATTTTTTGCAGATCTTCCAATGCACCATTGTTGCTACTTTGTCATGCCGCTGCTTGTAATCAGTTTGTGCAATCTTCTTGCAACAGCTTACCAAGTGGTCCACTGTTTCTTCAGCTTCTTTGCATAGGCGGCACTTACTGTCTGTTGCTGTCTTCTCAATTTTGACTTTGTATGCATTTGTCCTTAAGGCTTGGTCTTGTGCAGCCAGAATTAGTCCCTCGGTCTCTTTCTTCAATTTTCCTGCTCTTAGCCATTGCCAGGCCTTGTTATTATCTGCTTTCCCAGCTATTTTTTTAATGTATTGGCCATGTAGTGCTTTGTCTTCCCATGCCTCTATTCTGTTCTTCATTTGGTCTTTCTTGTAGGCCAGTTTGGTCTCTCCAGTAGTCAGTAAGCCTTCCTGATATACTAATTTCAGTGCATCTTCATCATTGTTCTTCAGATATTCTTCCAAAGCCATTTTTTCTTCTTCAACCATCTGATGTACTTGTAGCGTTCCACGCCCACCTATTTGCCTTGGTAGATAAAGTCTGTCAATGTCACTGCGTGGATGAAGGGCATGATTCATTGTCATTATTTTTCTGGTCTTCCTATCCATTGCTTTTAGTTCTGCTTGAGTTCAGTCCACTATTCCAGCTGTGTACCTAATGACTGGAATTGCCCAAGTGTTGATTGCCTTTATGGTATTATTATTGTTATTATTATTATTCAATCAGCTGGCATGTTATCTATCTTTCTTTATAAGGAGTACGGACTCTAAATGGGAACGGGCATGATAGATAGATAGATAGATAGATAGATAGATAGATAATAGAACAATAGAGTTGCAGGGGATCTTGGAGGTCTTCTAATCCAACTCCCTCTCAAGCAGGAGACTTTATAACATTTCAGACTGTCCAGTGGCTTTATCTTGGTATTGTGGATCACATTCCCAAAGCAATAGAACAAGAAGTATCGGACTAAATTTTGATTTATGAAGTTAGATTTTTTGCAACAAAATAGCACCACCTAGTGAAAAAAATTTAAGATTATCCTTAAACCAGTCGATCTATATATGCTGAGCAGGACTTTAGGCTAGAAAAAACACATTCAAGTGAATTTTGATAGTCAATTTTGATAGTCAAGCAGAACTATAGAAAGCTATATTATAAAGATTTCAGTATATACAGCTAATCATTTGTGGAAAGGCGAATAAAATTTTAGATTATATTCCCAGCAGAAGAGAGAACAACAGTTATGATATGCAATTGAAGATTTTTTTAAATTAGGAAGCCAAAAGGAAAATACATAATAGTGATTGGAAAATATCCCCCATTATCTCTGCTCCAGTTTTCTTTACAAGATGTGATTGATAATCTGAATTAGAATTATAGCATTTCTCTTTAATATATTAATGTTATTGAACATTACAATCAAAAAGATAAGAAGTAATATAAACCAATAAAGTAAAAGAATAAAAAGAAAAATAGAATGGAAAGAAAAGAAAAAATATATAAAGAAATGACTCTCTATCACAACAAGTTTAAACAACCTTGTGAATCCTCAAGCCTCCTCCTTCCGTTATATATTCAAGATGTACAGTATTTAATATTTATTTGCTTTGTATATGTAGGGATGTGGGTCTATACATATGTTGTACATAATATGTTTTAAGTGTGTGTCGTGTATGTGTTTCACTTTGAGAGCAAGCAACTAAATTTCATTTTTGATGTGTGCAGTTGTGCCCGCAGTAAAAAAAATGACAAAGGTTATCTTATTTTATCTTATCTTTGTGGGCAATCCCAATTCTCTCTTTGTGTGAAGAGAATTTGCAAAGAGTCAGTTCTTTCACTGGCTCTTCATTCCACTGTGATCATTGGTTCCATTCTCAGTGGAATTATCTTCAGTTCACTATTTCTGCCGTGGAAGAATAAGAGCATTTCCACATTATCATTACTTTTATTCTTTAAATTCAAAAAATAATCTGAATCTGATTATTTTCTTTGCTATCAGTTTTGGAACACAAGGAATATGCTGAGATCAAATGAGCTCATCAGTTTGCCTCCAACTTGACAGGAGTGCAAAAAACCCATTTAATAATCATCATGACCCTTATGAGTTATCATGGTCCTGGAAAAACAAAAATGTTCTCATTCCATGCACAAAAGATAGTAAATCACTACAATGTTACTAGGATATGAGAGTACATGAGGAATGATGGTTTGTTAAAAGAAAAAGAAACATCCAAGCCATTTTATCACCAATACTACATTGCAACTGAAAATGAAATGATACCATTTGGAATTTAAGTACTCTCAAATCAGATCCAACCTTTGGCAATTGTAAACATGCCATCTCAACTGCTCCCAATGATAATTTATTGCCCTTTCAAAGATATTTCAACTCCATAATTCTTTACCTCTTCTAGCCTTTAGCCTTGCCAAGCATAATTTTTTTTCCTGTGCTATCATGTCCCTAGCATAAATGAGGTTTTTCTTGCTAATCTTTATTTATTTATTCAGTTAATTAATTTATACAGCCTTCCATTTGTCATGCCACTTACTTCAAAGAAGTCAGTTTTATTTCTTTCAAGAGTTCTTGCAGTCCATGCTTCTTTTAATAACTATCTTCATATCTGAGATTCAAAATATATAATTCATGATTATTCCTTTTTCAGCAACTAAGTTTCACAATTATACATTATAATGGGATAAGACATTATTTAACTATTATGATCTTGATTGTCATGGAAATATCCTTCATGAACTTGTCTAAGTTTTTATTGCTTTCTCTTCTAGAATTACTCTCTTTACTTCTTTAGTCCAATGTCTATCTTTATCTGGCCTTGAAAATTATATTAACATCATTACTTATTCATCTTGGATGGTGAATTCAGTAATCATTCTTTCTGACATTATCTCTGTATTCTTATTTAAATCCACATTTTCTCTTCCCATGTTTATCTTCATAACACATTTGTTTTCTTTACAGTACTTTCACTGAAGTATTTCAATCTCCATTTTTATTCCAGTTCCCATCTCTTTCATACTGCCATTCTTATGAGATTTTATGTTTCCTTGTCTTGTTATATTTATTATGTACCACTTCATTTCTTCAAACTCAGTTCTTTCAGTATCTTCTTACTCATTCTCAAATTTCCTTGGAAGAATATTTACAAGCATTTAGAAACATGGACTGCAAGAAGTCTTGAAAGAAATAAAACTGACTTCTTCTTTGAAGTAAGTGGCATGGCAAATGGAAGGCTGTATAAATTAATTTTCTGGCATAATCTACGTGAGCTGAAACCTTGCTGTAGTCACATTATTCGATTTGTAGGTTTGGAAGTGACATTGTAGGTCTTCTAGTCCAATCCTCTGTCCAGCGCAATCCCAGACAAATGGCCATCCAGCTGCAGGAGTCAGGCTGTTCCATTCCTTAATAGCTCTCACAGATAGGCAATTCCTCTTAATTTTAAATGAGGGTCTCTCTTTTTAAAGCTTTTACTCATTAGTTCTTGTCCTACTCTAGGAGTTAAGAAAAAAAGGGCAAGGTGAACCTTATTATTAAATTCTCTTACTCTTTTTGTTTTATCATCTCATGTATCTGTGCACTTTCTGGAATCTAACTATCTAGTTGACATATTTATTTATATGTACAAATAGTCCTCATTTACGAGCACA